GACAGACAGACACAGAGAGAGAGAGAGAGAGACGGGCTGAGCTTGGCCTGGATAGCACGCGCGAACAGCATCTGCAAGCGCAGAGGAGAAGCTGGCTCCGCCTCCCCTGGCCCAGATCGAACTTCCTCGAAAACTTCGCATGAGCTGTGCAGGATGCCTGGAGAGAAGCTCACCAGTTGACCAGAGTGTGCGCAAGCTCCAACTAAGGACCTCGACTGCCGCAGAGACCACACACCGTAATGCTTCACTCCCAAAGACCACGCACAGTAATGTTTCACTCCCAGCCAACGGTGACAGTTCGGCATGGATTACCTTCTACCATATCCACGTTCCCTCCCCCATCATCTCAGCCCAAAAGGCATTGGTCATGCAGTGCAGCTGGCAGGAGCTTCCTCAGCTGATTTGAAGTGAAGAGATTCTAGCAAATTATATTTTGGTTTTTTATGTTATCTGAATCTTGTATTATATTATCTTCTGTTTTGTTTTCTTCTCCTATATTATATTGTGTTGTATTATATCATGTTATTACTAGCCTTCCTGAAACACGTGGACATCTTGGCTGTGCCGGGCGGCTCAGGCGAGTCCACTCCTTTAGCCTCAGCGCCATGCGTACCATGCAGGTTCCATGCATTCCAGTCATACATACATTCGTACGTACGTACGTACGTGCCATACGTACGTGGCATACACACATACATACACACCTACCTACCCAACCTACCCAACCTTCCCAACCTACCCACCCACCCATGACTTGAAACAGGAGGCGGAGGGTCCTCAGCTGTGACCTCATCCCAGGCATCCTCGAGAACCTCCGCTCCAGGCTGCCATCACAACATTTTCAGAAGACATTGAAGACATCATCAAACATTCCCCAAAGGTTTCCTATCAGGTTCATCAGCAGATTCGACTCGTCAGGTGTTCCTAAACCATTTGTGCAGGCTTGCCGCCGTGCCAAGCAGTTGCATCATGTCCTGACAGGGGCAGCGTTCTCACAAGCACATTCGGTCGATAGTTTAGGGTACACGGCTTTAGGGTTTATACGTTCATGGGAGTAAGCCAAAAAGGCCCTGCTCTCTGTAAAGCAGTAGCTCTTTCAAAGTCTACTCCTTCCTAGCATTGGCCAAGATCGATGAACTTTCGTCGTTACTTTGAGGTGAATTCTTGGGATGGCTAACAGGAAGGACAGACAAGAGTGTTCAGCTCCAACGGAAGCTCTTTATGAGCAGGAAAGGAAGCACATGCTGCTGCAGCATCTACATAAACAGCACTAACCCGTGAACGTTCGGCATTTTCATGTGTCTCTGTTTGCTCTCTTTGCTCACTCTCCTTGTAGACATAGTATTGTTCTTCCAATGTATGGCATGTCTTTACTGCAGCTGGGTGAACGTTCCAAGTACCACAACATGAAAGCCCAGCACGGAGTTCTTCCTGGTGTATTCTTGACTTGAAACGATCCACGCAGCTTCCATGCCCAAAGTGCGTTTTGGGGTTTCAGGGTCGCGGACTTGGACTTGGGCATACACTTGAACCGGCAAACCTCACAACCAGGAGACTGCTGCAAAGGGTACGAATACTTCCAGAACGTTGTCAGCAAAATGCCCGGCCTTCTGATCCAGGCCGAACTGCTTCTCTTTCCTGGGCATTGACTGGTCTCTCTTGCGAAAGAGGATTTGTGAAGCAACTTCTTCTTGAAGGCTGGCGAACAATGTTCACTGATTCCGCTCCGAATCCTAAACTTCCCGAACAGAACCCTAAGCCCCTATGAACCCTAAGCCCCTAAGAACCCCAAGCCCCTATGAACCCTAAGCCCTAAATGGGCCCCTAAACTCCGAGGCTGGCTTGCAGATGGCGCTCGGATCGATGCAGGGCTGCAGGGCCTTCGTCGCAATGCGAAACCGCTGAAAGTTCCTCAGAGGGGGGGTGCTTTTTTAAGGCGAAGGGGTCTATTTTGTGTATGTTTTAGAGGGGTTGAGGGTTCTACTCTGGGGTTTTCCATAGGGCTTTCGGGTGTGCATTTCTGGTTTTAGGGGGCTTTGGGGATTCACGGGGCTGCGTAGGGCTTGAGAATGTATTGGAGGCTTGCCCGGTAAGCAACAGCTCAAGCCGACCACGCTAACGCGCGCTCTGCGGTTGAGGCATGCGGAGGGACACACCGTCTCTCTGCCAACCAAGATCTGAATGTGGCCGGTGACGTTGACTCCGAACCTAGGCCGGCTCAAGCTCAGACCCATAAACGATGAGAAGCATGGCCCAAAGGGTGCTCGTTCAAGCGCAGCGGCGCAGCGTTTCAGCGTTCCTCACAAGTCTGTCTTTCACCTTGTGCCCTTCCATTTGCCTTTCTCATTCCAACCTTCCAGGTGAAGACGCCAGTTTCTGGCCAGCGCCCAAGCACCTAAGAAGGAATGGGAGTTTCAGCTCTTAATCCTCTTGTAGCCAAGATGCTGATGCTGCTGCGTGGGCGAAAATCCCGCCGCAGTGTAGGGGCCTGATCGCGCTATGAATTCGGGGCATCTGTCCATCACCCACAGAACCTCTGGCCAAGAAGATGCAAGGAGCTTCAAGCTGCAGGCGAGGTGCCATAATCCACCGTGGGGCCGGCGGGCTTGATGCCAGCTACAATCCTCGGCTCTCACACCAGAGCACCGCAGCACATGCCCCAAAAAAATGGGAGCCGTGGCACCTTCTCTTCTGACAGATACGGCAAGTGGGGGTATGGAATCCTCAAGATTCTTGAGTAGGGCAATGGGATGAGCAGCACTTGGACGGACACACGCATCCGCAACCTTTCGAGCGGGGCTTCGGGTTTAGGGTTTAGGGTTTAGGGCTTAGGGTTTAGGGTTTAGGGTTTAGGGTTTAGAGTTTAGCGTTTCCGGTTTAGGGTTTAGGGTTTAGCTGCAAAATCAAAACACTGCCATTCGGCCTGGAATCCACCATGGGGGCAACAGATGTGTGCGATTGTCGTGCTGCGCCTGCTGTGGAGAGGTCATGATGGGAGCACGTGGGGATTGTCACTTCATGCACTGTGGTGTCAGAGGTAAAGTCTCAGTTGTGCCAAATTAAACGACGCTCAACGCATGCTAAAAGACTGCTCCTGAGCAGTTTCAAAAAGGCGCAGCACGTCCATTGGGGTAGCTTGCAGGCACAGCTCGGGCGCCCGCCTGGGATTTCCTGAGCTGTCAGCAGAGGCTCTGGATATGGATTGTAATCAGCCGCCCTTCGGGAACGCTGGTTCTATACCCCAAGCCCTGAAAACGAAACTCGGCACAAAACCTAAACCCTGAACCCTCTGGGCTGCAGAGTTAGAGGCTCCACAGGGTCTAGGGCTTAGCATTTTGTGACAAATAGTTAAGGGGTTTTGCCTAAGCAGCCCCTGCATTACACGCAAAATCCCTGATAAGGGTCCTCTTTTAGTCCCTTGATATATCGGGTTTTAGGAGTTTCGGGTTGAGGGCTTACGGCTCATATGGTTTGCAGGGCGTAGCTTCATATGGTTTCTTCTTTCAAGATGGCAACCTCTATGTTCTCAACCCATATAACTGCCAGACTTCGTGAAGGGCCACGACTGAGGCGTCGCTTCTGCATGTGTCGGCATGGGAGGCGCATCCGGCCCGGGTAATCGCATGGGATCTGGATCCGGCATGGGAGGCGCATCCGGCCCGGGTAATCGCATGGGATCCGGATCCGGCATGGGATCCGGGATGGGATGCGGCATCGGATCTGGTACGGGTGCTGGCGCATCATTCTCGCAGCCCTTGTGCTGCTCTTTGCCTGGCACAACTCTCCGCAAATCTCTGTACAAAACAAGCTTCTCAGAAACACTGGTGCCGGAATGTGCCGAAGAGGTGCAGCAGAAGAGCTTCTTCTTCTCTGACCAGCCCATCTTGAAGTTGGCAATGCCGGCGTCGCAGTCGTATTGCCACGCATAGCCCTGCAGGATCTAGTCTTCAATGCGAAACCGGGATTCGCAAAATTCCCCGGTTCTAAGCCACCGCCGTATGAATCAGCTTTATGGATGCAGGATATGGTCACACGAACACGTTCCAACTGACTGTGGCTGCTGAACCCGAAAGTCCTGCCATTTGCAGCTTGCCAGGATCACCAAAGCTGTCACCAGGCCTGTCATCTTGCCGCTGCAATTCCAAGAGTTCCTACTACCGTCCCAGCTCCTCTCCGCAACTACCCACAGCTACTCCAGATGCTCAAAAGATGAGTTTCAGGGTAGGTCAGGTGTTGCGTTTGAATAGAACACCAACAACCATGTCAGAAAGGTCACATGTAGACATGGTTTTTGCGCCATAGCCTTTCCCGAAATCTAAAAAACACGCGAAAATACCGTCTACACCGCAGCGCAACATCTGCATCGGAACGCAAACCCACATCCAAAGCTCAGCAGCCTGAGCGCATGGCCGCTAGCCTTGGCTGAGACGCGGTTCCTACCTCAAACCGTCAAAACACAAGAGCCTTGCACAGAAGAGTGTCGAGGAGTACTCGAGAGCCTCGCCCCACCGATCCAACTACGTTTTCACATACCTGCAGCAACTGACTCCCAAAACCGAAGACTGCAAAGCTCGTAATGGAACGGAAACCGGTGGGAAAAGGAGGTCCTCTTCATTCTTTTGTGAAAGCAGCTGCAGGGCAGCTCCGGCAGGGTTCGAAGGCGAGTTCCAAGTCCGTGCGCACGTGGAAAATGCACAGGGCGTGCTTCGTGCTGCGAGTATGTGTGCTACTGCTTCTGATGACACTTTGCTGAGAGTGGGCTGTGGGCTTCTTCTATCATGGTGGGCTCAGGTCAAAAACTCGTATGCGCAACCTGCTTCTTGGGTGCTTGTGGCACAAGGCCTTGATCCAAGGGCCTGCAGAAGACCGACACCTTCGCTGCCAAGACTTCAAATTCTTCACGGAACCAGCTTGCTCATGCTTGCTCATGCTTGCTCTACGTGCTCTACGTGCTCCGTCATCCTGCAATTCTTGCCATACCCCTCGAATCGAGGGAGGGCCTGTCGAGAAAATCCAACTGCTGCCCCACCTGGACAGGTGCACACCAGCATGAAGCCGTATGAAGCCTTTCCACGTCTGCGACTGCAACTTAGAGGGCCGAATTCGCATCGCCTCAGGCGTCTCGTGTGCATCTTTCGTGGTCAGTACTTAGGACCTCACATTCACGCCGTACATCATCAACGAGAAGAGCTGGAAGGATTCCGTGTCTCCAGGCGAATCGCCCTGCTGCAGGTTGGAGGTTCGCTTCGAATTATGCCGGCGAAGACCCCAAACAGTAAGATTGTAGATGAAGGGAAAGCGGCATGAAACAATAAGGCGACGCGTAGAACTCGGCAGGCCGAGTTTACAATCAGAAAAACTGGGCTCAGTATGGAGGCGGTCGCAACAACCCTTTCCCAATCCAAACGAGGGATTGACATGGATGTCCAAGCGCTGCCCACATGCATTTTGCCAAGCCTGAAAAATGCATTTGGTCTTTCTTTCTACATTTGCAACGCCATGCGCTCTCTTTCTGTACTTTTTCAAAGGCGAAAACAGGTGAGTGCATTTAGGCACGCGCGAAAAACGCAGTTTCCTTATTCGTCTCTTCTGCACGCAGCTTGTCTTTACGACGAATCTATTGCGGTTGTGGAAGGAGCAAGCTACGCGAATGCATTTTGCCCACTTAAAAAATGCACCTGAGCATGTTCTTCCTGATTCTGGGTCTGTTTCGGTACCCCTGCAAGATGCCGAACATTGTTCTAAACGCGTTTTTCAATTCCTATAGCTACTTTTATGCACAGAAAACACATCAGAAGGATCGAATACGTCATGAGCCAGCAGAAACCAAGACTAAACATGATAGGAAACCAGTGCCAAATGCATTCTTCGGGCGACGAAAAATGCATTTGGAATGCCCTAGAAATGCATGTCGGGTAGATGTTGGTCGTAAAACACCAACCTACTTTTTTGTTTTGTTTTCGTTTGCTTTTCATGCTGTAATGGAGCAAAGATAACCCAATAGACATGGATGACCAGACGCTGCCGAATGCATTTTGCCAGGCCTGAAACACGCATTTGGTCTTGCTTTCCACATGTGCAAGGCCGCGTGCTCTTTTCGCACTTTTTCAAAGCGAAAACAGCTGAATGCATTTGAGCACGGTCGAGAAATGCATTCGGACTTTGGTTTCTTCCGTACGGGGCCTCTGTCTTTGACACAAAAGTCAGTTATCAAGTGAGTCTTTTATTGTGGTTTTGGAAGGAGCAAGCTGCGCGAATGCATTTTGCCTTTGCAAAATGCATCTGGGCATGTTGCTTCTGATTTTGGGCCCCTTTTCGGGAGTTTTGCAAAACGGTGATTATGGTTCTACACGCGTTCAAATCCTATACATAGATGTTCTTATGCAAATTTCGAAGAAGTCATGAGCCGGCAGCACCCAAGATTGCAACATGATAGGAAACCAGTGCCAAATGCGTTTTTCGGGCGACGAAAAATGCATTTGGAATGCCCTAGAAATGCATGTCGGGTAGATGTTGGTCGTAAAACACCAACCTACTTTTTTGTTTTGTGTTTGCTTGCTTTTCATGCTGTAATGGAGCAAAGATAACCCAATAGACGTGGCTGTCCAAGCGCTGCCCGAATGCATTTTGCCAGGCTTAAAGAAGCATTTGGTCTTGCTTTCCACATTTGCAACGCCGTGCTCTCTTTGTGCACTTTTTAGAAGGCGAAAGCAGCTGAATGCAATAAAGCGCCGGCGAGAAATGTACGCAGCCTCTGTTTTTACGACAAAAGAGCAGCTTTTAACTCAAGTCGATTGTGGGTTGTGGAAGGAGCAAGCTGCGCGAATGCATTTTGCCCACTTAAAAAATGCACCTGAGCATGTTCTTCCTGATTCTGGGTCTGTTTCGGTACTCCTGCAAGATGCCGAACATTGTTCTAAAAGTGTTTTCAATTCCTATAGCTACTTTTATGCACAGAAAACACATCAGAAGAATCGAATACGTCATGAGCCAGCATAAACCAAGACTAAACATGATAGGAAACCAGTGCCAAATGCATTCTTCGGGCGACGAAAAATGCATTTGGAATGCCCTAGAAATGCATGTCGGGTAGATGTTGGTCGTAAAACACCAACCTACTTTTTTGTTTTGTTTTCGTTTGCTTTTCATGCTGTAATGGAGCAAAGATAACCCAATAGACATGGATGACCAGACGCTGCCGAATGAATTTTGCCAGGCCTGAAACACGCATTTGGTCTTGCTTTCCACATGTGCAACGCCGCGTGCTCTTTCTGCACTTTTTCAAAGCGAAAACAGCTGAATGCATTTGAGCACGGGCGAAAAATGCATTCGGACTTTGGTTTCTTCCGTACGGGGCCTCTGTCTTTGACACAAAAGTCAGTTATCAAGTGAGTTTTTTATTGTGGTTTTGGAAGGAGCAAGCTGCGCGAATGCATTTTGCCTTTGCAAAATGCATCTGGGCATGTTGCTTCTGATTTTGGGCCCCTTTTCGGGAGTTTTGCAAAACGGTGATTATGGTTCTAAACGCGTTCAAATCCTATATATAGATGTTCTTATGCGCAGAAAGACATCAAATTTCGAAGAAGTCATGAGCCGGCAGAACCCAAGATTGCAACATGATAGGAAACCAGTGCCAAATGCGTTTTTCGGGCGACGAAAAATGCATGTGGAATGCGCTCAGATGCATGTCGGGGAAACGTTGGTCGTAGAACACCAACCGACTTTTTTGTTTTGTGTTTGCTTGTTTTGACGCTGTAATGGAACAAGACAACCCAATAGACGTGGCTGTCCAAGCGCTGCCCTAATGCATTTTGCCAGGCTTAAAGAAGCATTTGGTCTTGCTTTCCACATTTGCAACGCCGTGCTCTCTTTGTGCACTTTTTAGAAGGCGAAAACAGCTGAATGCATTAAAGCGCGGGCGAGAAATGCATTCGGACAGAGGCTTCTTCTGTACGCAGCCTCTGTCTTTACGACAAAAGATCAGCTTTTCACTCAAGTCGATTGTGGGTTGTGGAAGGAGCAAGCTGCGCGAATGCCATTTGCCCGCTTTGAAAAATGTGTCTGAGCATGTTCTTTCTGATTCTGGGTCCACCCTGCCTCCGCCCCTCTCAACCCCTGTCGCTCATGATCGGAGACCATGCCACGTCACACCCCATTCACTCGTGATCAAAGACCATCGGAGGCCACGGACCCTGTCGCTCGCCACGGACCCGAATCGCGTGACACCCGCCCGGCCCCATAGCGCTCATGGTCGGAGACCATGGGAGACCACGAATCCAAGCGTGTGACACCCTCTCATCATGATCGGAGATCATTGGAGACCACCGACCGGACCGCGTGACGCCCGCCAGCCCGTGATCGGAGACCTTGGGAGACCACGGACCCAAGCGCATGAACACCCTCCCAACGCCTGTAGCTGTAGCTCACCACGGACCCGAACCGCGTGACACCCGCCCGGCCCCATTGCGCTCATGGTCCGAGACCATGGGAGACCACGAATCCAAGCGTGTGACACCCTCTCAACCCCTGTCGCTGCGTCGCTCATGATCGGAGATCACGGGAGACCACGGACCCGGACCGCGTGGCCACCGCCAGCCAATGATCGGAGACCCAAGCGCGTGAACACCCTCCCCGCGCCTGTAGCTAACCGCGTGCCCGGCCCCATTGCGCTCATGGTCGGAGATTATGGGAGACCACAAATCCAAGCGTGCGACACCCTCTCAACCCCTGTCGCTCATGATCGGACGCCGTGACAGACCACGAAACCGGACCGCGTGACACCCGCCAGCCCATGATCGGAGACCCCAAGCGCGTGAACACCCTCCCAATGCCTGTAGCTCACCACGGACCCGAACCGCGTGACACCCGCCCGGCCCATTGCGCTCATGATCGGAGATGTTGGGAGACCACGAACCCAAGCGCGTGACACCCTCTCAACCCCTGTCGCTCATGATCGGACGCCGTGACAGACCACGAAACCGGACAGCGTGACACCCGCCCATCGTGCTCAGAGACCATGGGAGACCACGGACAAGCGCGCGACACCCTCCCAGATGATTTATGGGAGACCATCAAGCGCGTGACACCCTCGAACCCCTGCCACTCACCACAGACGTCCGGCCCCATTGCGCTAATGATAGGAGACCATGTGAGACCACGAATCCAAGCGCGTGACACCCTCTCAACCCCTGTCGCTCACGAGCGGAGATCATGGGAGACCACGGAGCCGGATCGCGCGACACCCGCCCAGCCCCAAGATCGGAGAATCTGGGAGACCACGCACCCAGCGCGTGACACCCTCCCAAGCTTGTTGCTCACCGGAGTCCATGGGAAACTGCGGACCCGAACCGCGTGACACCCTCCCAGCCCCATTGTGCTCATGACCGGAGACCATGGAAGACCAGGGACTCAACCGTGACACCTTCCCAACCCTTGTTGCTCATGATTGGAGACCGTGGGGGACCACGGACACGAACCGCGTGACACCCACCCGGCCCCAGTGCGCTCACAACCCTTATGATCGGAGACCATGCGAGACCGCGGACCCGAGCCGCGTGACACCCACCCAGCCCACTGCACTCATGATCGGAGACCAGACCCGCGTGACACCCTCCCAACCTCGGTCGCTCATGATCGGAGACCGTGATCACGGACCCGGACCGTTTCGCTCATGAGCGGAGACCATGGGAGACCACGGACCCAAGCGCGTGACACCCTCCCAACCCCTGTCGCTTCGGAGACCATGGAAACATGGACCGCGTGACACGGCCCGAAGCACGTGACACCCGCCCGCCGTGGCCCAATTGTGCTCATGATCAACGCCCGCCCGGCCCCAATGGCCCCAATTGTGCTCATGATCGGAGACCATGGGAGAGCACAGGCCCGAAGCGCGCTGAAGCGCGTGACACCCAGTCGGCCCCAATGGCCAATTGGGAGACCACAGGCCCGAAGCGCGTGACACCCACCCGGCCCCAATGGCCCCAATTGTGCTCATGATCGGAGACCATGGGAGACTACAGGCCCGAAGCGCGTGACACCCACCCGGCCCCAATGGCCCCAATTGCGCTCATGATCGGAGACCGTGGAGACCACAGGCCCGTAGCGCGCGACAGCCACCCCGCGCCAATGGCCCCAATTGTGCTCATGATCGGAGACCATGCCAGACCACAGGCCCGAAGCGCGTGACACCACCCGGCCCCGATGGCCCCAATTGCGCTCATGATCGGAGACCATGGGAGACCACAGGCCCGAAGCGCGTGACACCCATCTGGCCAAGCGCGTGACACTTTTTTTTCTGAGGAGAGGACCCCAAACGGTTCCTGTTTGGGGAAAAAGTTGGGATGCTATAGTTCCCATCAGCACATATTGAGCGCTACAAGGGTCATGGGAGCAACTCTGGGCAGGATGCTCGCAACGACCCTCATTGCAACCAAGACCTGAACGGGTGAGGGTGCTGTCTACGGGTTCGGGTCCGGCCAGCGTCACGAAGGGTGCCCGGTCGCTCACGCTCAGGAACTTCCCTGACGCTGCACGAAAGGCATACTGCGTGTCCTCACACATCAGCAATGGACTACATTGACTGCCCGGAGCATCTCCAGCACACAAAAGTCCTGCTTGACAACGGAGAAGCGCTCATAGGTGCTACAGTAGCGGCGGGTGCCGATCTGCGGAAGCACCAGCGTGCCAGGGGATGAAGGGCGGTATACTGAATACTCTACTGGTATATACTGGTATACTCTGCCAGGTTAGCACTGAATTCGCTGCCCACCAAGGCCTCGTCGCCCTCTGCACTGAGGTAGTCCCCACCTAAAGCTGCTGTGCAGCTGCGCCGCTTGGACGCTCATGTTGCAAGATTTTGTGAGTGGGCCGGAGGCCTGCATTGACAGCTTTCAGTGTAGGCCAAAACCCCAAAGCTATGGCAAGAGGATGCGCGCAACACCATTTGGCCACAGCACATGGGGAACCGCTAGGGCAGTAGGAGTGCTCCCTGAAACAGCCTAACCTTAGTCCCCGGCTTATCGATTGAAATGCGATCTGATCACCAAACCTGCAAGATGCGCGGCTTCTCGTAAACATGGCATGCTACGTCAACAATGCCGGTAAACTGGCGAGGCTGGCATTCGTGTTGTGAGGAAGTCATTGCCATCCTCCGACACCTCTGCAGTACAATGGGGACACCACCTCTAGTTGCAAGTTGCCTGCCTGCAGCCTAACCGATGAGGTTTTTCTTCACGCCTCGTCAGCTGTGGTCACGCTGTTGGGCCCTTAGTTTGTCAACTTGGTGCGATTGGCAAGCTTTTGGCATGTGAAGCAGCTTTCCGATACTTCACCGGTGCTTCATCCTTAAAAGGCTGGCATGGCATGGCAACTTGGAAGTCAAGCAAAAGTGGCGCAGGAGTGTATTGAACGTCCAGATTTCACTGGGACTGCCACTGATAATGACATAGATCCTTAGATCTGCACGGGCACATGCGGATAAACCGCGTCATGTCAAAAGAACCTCGCAACTCCAAGCCCAAGGTTCGGCAACACTGACGAACGCAGCGCCACGATCCGGTCGATCGCAATTTGCCCGCGCCTCCCAGCGTGGTCGAGCTTCCCTCACGATCCCTTCTCCCGAGAAATCCGACGGCATCAACAGTTGGTACAACAAAACGGCTGTTGCCTGCCCATGTTGGGGAGCGCTGCGGCGAGCCCTGAGAAAGAAGAGGCAGCTTTAGCCCACACACACACACCTCCACGAGTAGCATCCTCTTCCGGAATCCACGTGACGTTCGCATTCCTCCCCAGCCGTCTCTCTCCCCCCCCCCCACCTGCCGGCCCTCGGCACGAGATGGTTTTGTGGCCCCGCCAGCTGAACCCAAAGCCACGTTCAGCCTGTGCTTCTGGAGAGCGACCTCACGCAACTCACGTGCACTGCGACCTCTCTCACACGACATGCTGCCGCACGCTTTTCTCGCAGGTCACGGGGCGATCTCATCCCCGACCTGTTTCCATCTGCTGCCAACAACTTGCTCCGTAGCATGAGCCAACTGTACGTTTATGTAAACATATGTAAACATGCATTGCACCTGAAGGCAGCAGTCAGACTCCTACAAGCCGTCTTAGCCTTATTTTGTTGTGGAGACGGTGAATAGAAACGTGCCGCCAGCAGCTCACCCCTTGCCCTGCATCTTCGAAGTTGGTTGTTATGATTTTGGATTTTGGGGGGGGGAGCTTTTGGGAGCGCAGCTTGCACGGGGGAGTCTTTGAGTGGACCCGAAGGAATCGGCCTTTTTGCGGGGCCTTTTGGATCAAGCTTCAAGCTCTGGCAGGGCAGGACCAAAGCGGAGCTTTCCTAAGGCACCTTTCCGACCACTGGGCTGCTGTGCAAGCATGCGCAAGCCACCATTCACCAGCTGTCACCAGTTGCCCTCAGGACTCAGGATTAGCAGAAGCCTCCTGTCAAAGCAGGACAGCTAAGACAGAAAGGTTTAGACATGGCATGACCAGCAGCACGACCAGGTCTCCTTGGTGCCCTCTGGCTCAGAGGTGCTGGGCCTGGGGAGATGGAAGCAACAGCGTAAAGGTTGAAAATAACCCAGGTTCGGTCACGTAGGATGTTGGGCCCGCCACGCGGAGACCTCGGCCGGAGCCTGGCGCATGGCACCGCAGGTTGTTGCAGTACCGGTACTGCAACATGGCGTCTGCCAATCACCAAGCAGCCAAGGGCAGGAGGACGGGGCCTCAGCCGGTGGCACTGCATCCTGCACCGGGACGAGCTAAGGAACGGTGTGCTCTGGCCACAAAAAGCACCAACAGCAGCTCCAGCCTGTGTTTTATCGGACGTGGCTGCTTCCTTCGTCGGATCATGCGGCCTGTCTTTGCCGAGCATGCGATTTCCTCACATAGCCTCCGTCATCAGCCAAGGGCCGGGCTCAGTGCCCTTTGGCACCTTGAACACACCACAACAAGTCCATAGTTCAGAACACACAACGTATCTCCACATCGCCTCTTCTCAACATGCTGCGAACCCCGTGAAGGGCCACGACGTGGTTCTCGTGAGATGTCGCATCTTTTGGAGCTTCCGCTGGCCTTGAGACGTTTCTTTGCAAGCGCTGTGTACCGGCTCAAGTGGCTCAAGGCTCAGTCCGATGCGCCGCTGCAGAAATTGCCTTCAAAAGCTGCACAACTCAGACAGTTGCATCTCCACCATCACTGAATCTCACAAACTCTCGTGCATTCCATTGACCCCTCTGCTGCTAACTTGTTTACATTTCCTTACTGCACATTGTGGCCTCGGTCACCGCTGGTGTGGGGGCATCAGCTGGCCTTGTTCGGGCAAGGTTCGAGAGAAGATCTGAGATGGTACTGGTAGGAATATCGGAAAAAAGGGGGCTTTTCCAGCGAGGCTTTCCTGGCTGAGGACGGAGCGCCGGCTCAGCTGAAGCCTTGGCTCAACTTATGACAACATACTTCTAGCACCTTCTGGCCATGACCTGGCCTGCGGGGCTGCGGCTGGAGCTGGATCCTGCGACTCAACCCAGCACCAGTGACAAGCATGACGACAAGACGTGAAAACAACATGATGCAACGGGCATGTTTTCCACGAGGCTTGATCTAGGCACGTGCAGAGAAAAATCACAAGCCTGCGCATCCGCAGATGCTGCCGGGGCTTGCGCTGCCGGGGCTTCCGCCACGGCCAGGGCCGGGGCTGGGGCTTCCACCTTTGGGGCCTCTGCCACCGGGGCTTCTGCTGCTGGAGCTTCTGCCACCTCCCACGTGCGACAGATGGGTTCACATTACACATTTCAACAAGCCCGCCATGAGAAGCCTTCTCTGTCACCAGGGCATCTGCCGCGGGTGCTTCCGTGGGCAGAGAATTGGCAGGCCTGGTTTGCGACGAACATCGTCATCAAATAAGCACAAAGTCTACATTTGCTGATTGCTGCGAGGAAGCGTGCCGACTCAAGTTGCATTGACGGGATAGGTGAAGCGAGGAGGGGTCTGTGATTTTCCTTTGGCTGGGCTTCTTGTCAAAGCTGGGCTTCTGGTTTTCTGGGATCTCAAAAGGCGGGAAGCCCACAATGTGCCGACGACGCATCGAAGTCGCATGAAGTTGCAGTCTCCTTGTGCATGTATACAGTTCACATTCCACGGTACATGTTTCTGTACCACGAATGCACCGCAGCAAGCACGCAGCATAGGACGCAGCCCTGCGAAGAAAGTGAGCACGAACCGATGCTGCCAGGACCTATCCTACACAGGGCCTTGTGCACACAAGTGGCCACTCAGTCATGACCCTGTGCAGATTGTGTTCGTTTGTTTTTTCTACATGCTCCGGCGAAAGTTTGGGAGAGAGAGAGAGAGACACCGTGCAAGTCATGAAAGCTGCGGCATGACAACGAACCCACGATACCCTGTGCCCTGGCCAGCAAAACGCGGCCTCGCACAAGTGAACAGCTGGTCTGTCCAAAGCACGCCCGCCGTCATCCACAATCCGGAGCGATGAGGCTTCTCGAAAGAATTTCGCGAGGAATCAACTCTGTAAATTAAAGTCTTGGCAGCGGGCCTCTTTTGTGCGGCGGGAGACAATGAACTGGGTTGTATATGTTGTAAACTGTGGATGAATGGCCATGCCCTTGACACTGGCCGGGATGCCATTCCGGTCGTACTACCCGGCCTGGATTGGCCGCAAGAGAGCTGCGCTCGCGGGAGTTTGCTCTGTCTGAAGACCGAAACTTCTTTCACTCGCTCTCTCTCTCTCTCCTCTTCTTCTTCTTCTCCTCCTCCTCCTTCTTCTTCTTCTTCTTCTACAGCAGGGCTTGAAGGACCCTAACACTTTCTTTCTTTCTTGGGGGCATGGGGCCGAAGCCCCGGACGTCATCGCCCCACCCTGTATTGGAGCCGCTCCAGTGAAAACGAGTTCGGGCCGGCGAGTGTGGAGTGGTTTCTTCCCCCACCCCCAAAAAGAAATGCAGCTGAGGTAATTGCGCTCTGGACCCTAACACTCTCTCTCTCTCTCTCTCTCTCTCTCTTTCACGAATTCTTTCACGGGAATCTGCGCAGTACGTTTCTGCCATCCCGCCCTCAAGAGTTGCACGTGCTACAGCGTGTTCTGAAGCATCTTCTTCCAGACATTGTTTACCCGCCCCTCCGCAGAAAGAACTGGTCGAGCACAGTCTCGGAAACAGGTGAGCCGGATGCGGGCCGCAACAAAACTTGCGTTGTCTGAGATGCGAGCGCATCTGCAGCAGGAGCCTGGCCAGAAACTGTGGCCACACTTCTCTTGGAGGCATGTGTGCCCAGTTGAAAACGTTTAAGGGGGCACGAGACTCGGCACAACTGCAGTCCTGAGTGTCTGCTCCGGGCCCTCCCTCAGCCTTCGCCTCCAATGGCCTCTGAAAACCACTGATGACACAGGGACGGGCTCCACATAGTGTGATCCTAGAAGCCAGGCACTTTGAAATCTCCTGAGCTTGTGACGCGGCTTGGCCGGCTTGAGCCTGAGCAAAACTCCCTTGAAAACAGACGCAGCACACGCAGCATCCGATGCCCTGTTTTTTGCACCAGAAACGTTTCGGAACGGGCCTCGGCCGCCTCGGCCACCTTCTCGGAAGGCCTCGAGGCTGGCTGCTTCTGGTGAGCCCGGCAGCCGCTGAGGCTGGCTGAGTCTCTTTTGCACTTGGGCAAAAAAGGAGAACAAGTGGCCAAAAAGGTCTCTCAGGCTGTGGCTTGTCGCCATCGGGAGCCTGCTCCAGTCTTTCGGCTTGGGATGCGGATGCCAAACCCCAAACCCTCGAAGCGTTGAGCAGAACTCGGGAGCCTCGGAAGCAGCTTTGAGCTCGCTGCTCGTATTCTCTGCAGCCGGCGCTGTCTCTTTCGCTTCAGCCTCGCAACGCTGCGGCACAGGGCGGGCAAGTTGCTGCACAAAGTCCAGATCGACTGCCCGCTGTTGCTGCAGAGTACACTTGCTCCTCTCTCGAGCCTTGGCGCTATTTTCACCATCACCTTCAGCTTTCTGAGGTGCCGGTTCCTCGGGCCTCGCTGCGCACGAAGAGACACGCTCGAAGCCGCCCCAGACTGTGCCCCGATCATTGTGAGTGCCAGTGCTTTCGGCCTGGATGCTACTACTCTCAGCGAGCAGGGCAGAAAAAAGCGTCGGGACAAGTGAAAGCCGTCAATGGCAGGTTGCCGAAGGTTCTTAGGATGCTCCATGTTCTGCATAAGGTGACATGGGCTCAATGCCGCCACACCCGAAGCCAGGTGCCCTGCTTTGCGGCCTCCCCAGGTCCCTGCTCAGCGAGATGGCCCGGGAGTGCTTTGGAGGGGAACCTACAATCTGGCCTTACAGACGTCCGAACGTAGAACATGCACTGGTGCTAACTGAACACGAGGTCAAAAGCACAGCTTGGCCTTCGCATCACCACCTGTCACAACAGCCGTCACAAGCATCGAAGCGAAATAAGCACGAGCCTTTCAGTGAAGGCTTACGACCAGATTCGCCCACAGAGCCAACGTCAGCTTCTGACCTGCACCATCCTCGCCCTTCTTCTTGCCCTCAGCCAAGAAGCTCATCTTGCAGGATGGTCAAGCGTGCCCCCCAGATGTCAGAAATATTCTGTCCGGCGTTCCGCGCGCTGTGCTTGCAGATCGAGGCTCGCACCTTTCCCCCTCGTCGCCGCTTCTTGGCGCTTTGGTCGCCACCTGGATTGGCATGTACAGTCATCGAACTGCACCCAGAGAATGGGAGAAGCCCTCCTCACTGAATGACATCACCTTCCTGACACCTGCTCGCAAAAAGCACAGAGGCAAGTACCGTTGGCTGCCGGTGCGTCCTCCCCTCCTGATCGGTCACAACACTGCAAGCCGGTGCCTATTTGCAGAATCCTTCTACCCCTCCCCTCTCAAGAGTTAACGTCATGTACCACAGGCATAAGCATCCCACCTCTTTTTCCAGGGCCGGGCCTGCATTGCGTGGGACAGGGAGGCACGCTTGAGCTGATCATGGGGAAAAAACTGTACTGTCTCCTGGTTTGGCCGTTAGATGCTGATCATATACTATACATGCAGTCATACACCCTCACACGCCCTCCCACAATCAAGAGGGTCATTGAGGATCCGGACTTGGAACCGTCACCGCGGCGGATGTCCCTTGCTTGGGGCATACCGTCCTGCGCGTGTCAACGGCTTGTGTGGGGACGCGGCCAGTTCAGGGTTTTTAGGGTTGTGCTTCGAGCCTTCCCAAAACAAATATTAAGCCAAGAGCTACAGCACAGCACCTTCTAGGCCTTTAGAAAGGGTTGTGTTGGCCTTGTTGGTGTCCAACAGGAAGGTGAGCTCTTCACCTGGGCAGTCGCCAAGAACTTCAAGCGCATCAGATCCTCTTGCTGCCAGCCCGCGAAGGGTCAAAAAACAAATCACAAGTCCTAGTGTCTAAGTACCGAGGTACCGACCCACCTCCAAGTCACCAATCTGCGCCTGGCCAAGGGCACGAGTTCGCTATGAGTTGAGGGATGAGATGAAGGAGCACCTTGTGGACGAAGACGTCCCTGCTAAAGCGATGCCTCACCTCAGGCCAGGTGAGCGCAATCGTGCCAAAATGTTTGTTCAAAATAATATGTTACATAAAAACTCTATGAATGTGATTTAAAAATTATAAAACTTTTACGGGGCCTGTCTTACGATCTTTCGGCTCCGGCACCGGCGCTGGACCATGCTACGACGAAAACAAAACCCTACAGAAGTAAGTCTGCAGCCGGGATGAGGCGCCCGCAAAAGTTACCAATGCTCTCCACAAACCGCATGGAGAAAGCTAAGCACACGAGGCTCTGCAAGATTCTGCCAGCAGTGGTCCGGATTGATCGGCAGAAAGATAGTCTAGCACAGCACAGCGACTACGTCACTGTGTGTAGATGATCATAAGCCCCTGGGCCGAAAGTAGTGACAGTCCTTTGTGGCATCCGAAAAACAAACTACAAGAAAGCGAGCCGAGACTTATCCCAAAGTTGTCGAGACAATGACCCGCGGCAAAGGTAACGAAAGGGCGCCCCAGCAAGGTTGTTGTGTGTGGCTCTTTTCGTAGATGGAGGCATGTATGCACAATGAAAGAACATAAACATGTGTGTGCAAATGGTCTGGCGTCTGGCGTGTCCGGCCCCCCCTTCCTGGGGGGGGGAGGGTGAGGTTGGAGGCCTTAAGGGCCCAAAGCCCTCAAGTCCTCACCCAAACCCCACGTAAAAACCCTGCTACGGGCGCGCTTGCTCAAGACAGCTCTCTTGGAGCACATAAATGGAATTTCCCGCTGTGTACACTTTTCGCGAACCGGTGTGATCGATGTATTGCTGTATTGGTTTACGAGGATTGGAAGAGGACAGGAGTACGACTTAAGGAGCAACCAGTTCGGTACCTGGAATATTGCCCTTCCACCCCTGAGGCTCGCTACCTTAGGAATCCTCTCGTAGCCGCGATACGAGGGAGGCCACCGTTGGTGAAGGAATAGCGCTGGCAGGGATACTACCACCTGGATTGCAACTTCTGAAACCTACACTTGTCTGTAGCACCAAGATTTTCTTACTGTCCCCGAGCTACTACCTGTTTGCGGCAAACTTCTCCGGAATTGTATTTCAACTCTACCGACTCTACCTCTACCTTTACAACCCTACAAGTCCTAAAACCCCAAGCCTCAAACCCTAAAATGCTAGAGCCCTGAACCAGAAGCCCTAAACCCTAGCCCCACAGCCACACCACGGCGAGAGTACCTAGATCATGACCCTACAACCCTGGAGCCTAAACCCCAACACCCTAAAGCCTAAACCCTAAAACTCAGCCGAAAAGGCTGGAGCCCTAAACCCAGCCCACAGCCACCGCACCTACACCCAAAAACCCTCCAAAACCAACCCACAACCACACCACAGCGAGGGAGGGGGGGTACCACAAAAAAGGCGCCTGATTATGTATACATACATATTTCCAAATATCAGCTCGATACATCTGTATATACAGTGTATATGCAACTAGCAATATCACAATACATGCATGTATATTTTTACATGTGTGTGTGTGTGTGTGTCAGAGCTAGGTGTGCCCTAGGTGTGCCAACAAGGGCAACTTCCTGGGAAGATGAAGGTGCTGGAAACACACAAGAAAGAACAGGATTAACTCAGCGGCAAAGCTTGCCGAAGCCTGAAAAAGCACCTCTGTGTCCCGCACCTGCGGGCAATCAATGAACCCAAAGCCATGCCTGCGAGGGGAAGGGCGGCAAAGGCACATCACGCAAAGCAGCTTCCCTCATCTCTTGGCAAAACAGCCCAACAGCCATCAGGCCATCAGGGAAAGAGGGGGGCCAAGCTGAGTCTCCGGCTTCGGGTTGAAGGACTTGAGGGTCCCTGTCTGACGGCCAGAGAAGCCAGCGGAGCCCTGGCGAGATTTTTAGCATTTTCAGGCTGCACGCTAGTACAGAGTGACCCCAGTGTTGTGTGTATCGGACTTGACAGGTGATTCAAGACCAAATCTTTTAAAAAAGTACGAATTATGGCATCTCGCACCACAGGTCTGACAGGCCAGGCACACTCCTGGTGGGCCATATCCAGGCGACGGGCCCGAGGGCGGCCCGTATCCCGGCGCCGGATATGCACCTGGAGGACCATAGCCTGGCGGCGGCGCCCCATAGCCGTAGGGTGGTGGGCCGTAGCCAGGTGGAGGCGGCCCATAGCCCGGTGGAGGGCCGTAGCCCGGGCCGTAGCCAGGTGGAGGGCCGTAGGCGCCATAGCCGGGAGGAGGTGGGTAGCCACCGTAGGGTGGCGGCCCGTAGCCAGGCTGCCGGTCGTATTCTGGCGGATACTCCTGTGCGCATATGCACACATCATGACAAATGAAGGACTTCTTTCAACGACTTTAGCTGAACAGTTCTGATTCACGATGCATTAGAGTCCATGTCGAGTCCTCTGGTCGAGGATGCCGCGGCTCCTTTGCACGTCACACAACACAAAGGAGGCGCTGTCAGTCTAGATGTTGAATGTTGAATCATGGCAACTGCTTTTGCACATCTGCGACTGCTCGGCCACTGCCTCGCGCGGCCGCCGCCTGCTGCGGCTGCGGCTCCGCCGCCGCGGTGGCGCGCGGCTCTGGAAAAAAGTCAACAGAAACGAAGGCACGAGCAATGGGTGTGTCAGGCAGTTATCCAGGCTAGGTGAACTCTAAAGCGACAGGCAAAGCATCTTTCCATGAAGGAGCGAGAAAGCAGAATGACCTCTTTCGTCGCAAAAAAGGCTGGGTGGCTGGCTGCGCTCTGCGGTGACTGTGGACCTCCGACGAAGATATTGTCAGGGTCCGGATAGAGCATCTTGACCTTGCAGCTGCTTTTCAAAGACCTTCTTTCCCAGGATCTTGGTTGTCTCTTCCAACTGCTTCATGCTTCATCCTCTGCATTCAACGGAGAGGTTTGAGCACTCGGAGGGAGCACTTGCTTCTAGCCGATTCTAGCCCGCAGCTCTCTGGAGCCTGCACGCGACTGCATTAGGGAACTTGGATGAGGCTTTGGACACCATCTGAGAGTTGGGCTGCCACGTGGGACTGGCAAGGCGCACAGTGCACATGGAAACTAGGAAGGCCGTTGCCTTTCTTGCTGGCACTTCGCATACATAAAGTAACACTGTAAGACTTCCAACCATTGTATGACACGCATGTAAAAGGGGTTGAGTTAACATAAAGACTCTGTAGACGTGCAAGGCACGGCCTCAGGCGGCCAGTCCCCAAGGCGGACCAAGAGCCTCGGGCAGTTGCATCAGTTCCCTCAACTCCCATCTGTTCCTCTGTTGTGGCTTTCTCAGCCCACTCTGCCCAGCTCGGCATAGCAGGGGGTGAATTTGCCGAGGTGCTCGTCCCCGATGGGAAAGAAGCCCTGCGTGAACCAGGAGCGCCTGGGCAGGAAGACGAGACATGTAGAGGACACGGTGGGCATGATATGACTTTGTCAGCACATGTCAGAAACAAAGCTCCGCAAAGAGATGTCACGGTCTCTCGCACACTGACGCTGGAACATCCCGGCTGGAACATGCTGGATTGCAAGCAAGCCGACGAATCTCCGCACGTTTGCCGTCAGGCTGCATCTTCGATGTTCGAAAAGGACCGAACTCCTGGCCAGTCCGATCCACATAATACCTCGCAGGATACACGTCCAGTAAACAATGACGCAGCTACCATTTGCGCATATCGGGCTGTGTCCAACGCTGTAGCGCTAAGGGCTCCACCATTGCAAGCGGTCTGGATCTCCCATGGCCCAGCGCGCTAGCTGTGGCCAATGGGCCACAGAGATGGAGTCTGCGTACAACGACAGCTGTTGCTACATCCTTCTTTAATGGAAAGTGCGCAGCCAGTGAAAATCCCGTACCGGTGAAGTCTTCTCGACAGCGTGGGGACTTGACTATCACTATGAGGTGCTGAAGAAAAACTTGGTAGCCCTCCCACCCATTTGAGCCATCCCTTTAAGACGGAGCGCACCCGGTCTGGATCCCGAATCCGCCCCCGAAATCGCAGGATTCAGTGAAGCAGAACTCTCCAAACTACAACGACTGGCGAGGATGCATGCCTCTATCCACGATGGTTGTTGGTGGCTCTCAACTTCGTCTTCCCACACATGGAAAACGGAGCGCTGGCCGGCCCGTCTGCCTCTTTTCCTGCGTTGCAGCTGTACTGCACGTGCACGGTCACGAAGCTTCCATCCAAGAAAAGCACCCAAGGGCAAAACAGAACTGGCAGGTGATTGAGCTTCGCCTTGCACCGGGGTGTCTCATGGGCCTAGCAAGAAACCCCGGATTAACCCTGACCCTAAACCCTAAACCCTAAACCCTAAACCCTAAAGAGCCTCAACATGGAGAGGGCAGCGTCCGAGCCCCCTTGCTGCAAGCGAGCAAGGTGAGAAACGTCTGACACCCGGGTGCCTTCCCTGGACTGACAATCCCGATCCAGACTGCCTTGTTGACCAGAGCTGGTTCTTCTCCCCTCCAATATGCGAAAGTCGCATGAAGTGCTCAGCTTTCATCAGCTTTCTTCGACTCAGATGTTCAAAGTTGGATATTGGAGGAGGCGGGGCTTGCATGATCTCAGATCATCCATGGCATCTGGAAACCCACAGACATCGTCTAAGCTTAACATGTAGCCGTATGTGGGCTTCCGCATGCCAACTGCAGATTGAATCCCACCAGCCTATGTGCAGCTAAATAATGGTGCTTCTGGAAGCCAGGAATACCAGACCCTGCATCTGCAGTTCTGGGCATGTCCTATGCTGTTCATGTCGCTACCGCAGGTATTCCTGGTTTCTGGAAACTGGCCGAAAAGATACGCGCCGAGTACCTCACTGGACTTGAATGCAACCATACTGGTGGGGTGTTCTGCAGCTCCTAACCGCTTTTGGCCACCTAGCAAGACCGTAAGCCAGATTGACCACGCAGACGTCAAGCTGTCTTCCGGTGAAACCCACCAACCGTGCAAAAGGTTTCAGCACGTGCCACTGAAAATCTAGCTCCAAGTCCAATGGCGGTTTTTGCTACTGCTGGATGTCTGAAGGCCGCAATAGATCTGGCACATCCTCCATCGTCTGAGAAGAGCAGCCAACACATGTCCAGCAGCAGCTGTGCGACAAGTAGATTCTGATTCACATCTAGCCCTCAGCCGAACATGTCCATCTCAGACCAGGGTTAAGATCACGCATATGAGGTTCTAAGCACAATCGAGAATGGCTCACACCGTGCTGCAAGGCGGCCAACTGTCTTCAATCTTACAGAAGCAAGGGGCGCACCAGTCTTGACTAGAACAAACACTCTTCTTCCCCGAGCCTCATCTGTCGCCTTCTGCGCCGCAGCCCCTTTGACCACGCCTGGCTTCCCAGAACTGAGGGCATTTGAGAAGCATCCCGAAGCTGAAGGGTATCTTGGGGAGCAAAAACACTTCCGACAAAACCACATCTCCACCCCTCTTGCTGTGGGCCCTGACGCGGACTGTGCCTGCATCTAAAGTGGCAGCTGCGGCCACATGGCCTTGTCCTCCTGTCAGCCCATGTGGATTCAGAGGCTTGAGCTGGCTTTGGGATGGCTACGGCCAGACTTGTGGCGATGGAAGTGCGAGCCGGAGGAAAACACCTTCCGTGATACAGCTTGTAACCTGCTATCTGTCACCAATGCGCATACTCCAGGCTTACTGCCGACATATTCGATAGTCATGGCACTTCGCTGGCCAATGCTGGCCACTTGCTCTTGAGTGCTCAAGCGCGCTAAGCCCACCCAAGTCTGCGTTGGAGAGGTTAGAGGATGGATGCACCGAGTTGCTGAGTTCATAAGCCCCGTAAAAAGTGCACACTTGCAGTTCTAGAGATGATGTAGTATCCGGAAAAGTGTACAGTGTACTCATTCAGCTACATCAGGCAAGGACTGTTCTCCCCATGTCTGAATCCACTTGTGCCCCTACAGCTTGCAACTTGCGCGGAATGGGAAGGCTGTTAACTCAGAGCGGTGAGACGGAAGCCCGCAGGTCGCGCGGAAACCACTCGACTTAGGTAGAGCGAAGACCTTGCCCTAAACTGGTTTTACGAGTTCCTTTGAGACGGGGCCTCTACTAATCACTTGTTGAATCTTGTGTTATTGGCGATGTGGTTTACCCCACTCAGCCACACAAAAGGTTGAGTGCTTGTTGGCGAGACAATTGCAGCTTGGGTCTTCACATGGGAAGCATGCATCTTGAGGCTTGACGAGACCTCATGGCTGCATCCCTTAGCAGCCTTAGCAGCCATTTCTGAGACATCTCGCTTCTGGCCATTCCAGAAAGTTTAATCATCAAAGCTGACTGGTCCGCAGTTTTGCACGATTCACAACAGCACAGCCGCGTTGCAGGGTTGCAGGGTTTGATGCCGAGTCACACCCTGACTACAAACACGACCTCGTAGGCGGTACTGCAACAGTGTTCTCTTTGCTTCCTACTGGGGTGAGCTTCCTCCTTACAAGCCCGAGCTCAAACCCTTGGACCAATGGAAAAAACAACTGTGCATCTAGCCCTTAAAGGCTTTAGGGGCGACTCAACCCCCAACTGCCTTTGGACAAGGACGCACGTCCAACAGGCATTTCTCGTCTTGAACAATCAGCACCAACGCACTCAGAAGAGGCAAAAGCATCAAGTCGCAAATAGATCATCACATCGCAAGTGGAACTCTTCTCTTCCCTAAAGCACTTGGTTCGATAACACTACACACCCCCAGCAAGTTTTCTCATTTGCACGCGGCAACCCCACGGTGCCGTCACGGCCTGTCTTGCCCACGTACTTCGGAACACTCTTGTCAGCCCAACCTACATGTCCAGGGAACGTGGCTTCCATGTCGGCACAAGCTTGTTTCTGTTCACGGTTTGATAAGATCGGTATCCCGTGCTAGCTGTTCCAATCTGACTGCAAGCAAATGCGCATGCCGTCCGCTACACCAGTGCAGATCACGAGAGTCTGATATGTGTGCTCACAATTAACGACATGACAACGTCAAGAAATGGAAGACTGAATACATCTGACTACGCCTCTTTGCCTGCACTTTGCCTGCAAAAACCTGAACCCTCAAAGGGAGCGAAGCTCTCAGATTCAGCTGGTCCCACCAAATTGCACCACCAAGACGGTCAGGTTGTCCTCGCTCCCGCCTTCACATCAGGACACGTCACCCTCTCGAACTGAAGCGATTTCCATTTAGGGTTTCGGGTTGGCTCTGCGCCAAGCAGACCCTAGCAGTGTCTTCCCTCAGGTCTAGGTCTGCCCTCCGCGTTTCCGAAATGGAATCACCTACCACGGGTTTACATAGAAGCAGACCTTGTTGCAGCGCCAGTCACTCCCAAGAGCTCTCTACCATGCGGACGATACACGAGAATGAGCCTAGACACCCCGAATCTACAACAAAAAGGCCCATAGTGAGAGAGCTCCCTGAAGGATTTACAGCACTGGCAAGCATCAAAAGCATATCAAAGCACTACAGTGAGGCTCAGCTCCCCCACGTTTGTAGGCTGATCGGACAATGTTCTTTGCGGCTTCTTCGGGTTCCCGCCAGTGCCTCATGCAAGGAGACATCAGGTGTCATGGGTGCAATCATGCAGGAAGCAAACCATCATGGTCAGCTGTTGAGATATTTCGGGTGTGGGGTTGCCATGGACTGCCATCATTCTGTTCTTGCAAGAGGACGCACGCGTCTTCTTCACAACGACATTTCGGGCATCTTAACCGGGCATTCTGCCCAACTGGAAGCTTGAGCCACCGGGACTTTTGGTCAGAAACTTGCCTACTCTCTCCTCTGTGGACACAAAAATCGCAGCTTCTCCCATGTATGCCAGCAATGGCGAAAAATCGCGTGACTTCCTCTGCACCCACCTCATGGCCAGGTCGATAACTTCCTGGCACACACGCAGCACAGTGACAGACGAGTCAAAAACCACAAAAAGGAGTGCGTGCTTATAAGCCCGAAGCTTTGTTGGCGCCTGCATCTGCAGATCTGCAGGAAGGTGAGACCAGCAACAACAAGTTTTACCATGTACTCCACCAGCAGCTCGTCAGCACAACCAAAAGGATACCAAAAGGTGATGTAGTGAGGCACCTGGTTGCTGAGGACGTCGTAGACGCCGTCCGTCGCCAAGACTATAAAGAGGTCCTTCCCACGTCTTCCGCCCAGGAAGAATGCCAGATGGTGCTAGAGCCCCGGAAATCCCCAACCACGTTAGCCGAAGGCCCCTCTCAAAACCCCAAGGATTCAATTCCCCAGGCCAGAATAACGCAAAGGCGGTTCAGGCATGGAAAGGGATGGAAAGGCCGGTCGGTGACCACGAATGGTGCAGAACAGCACATCACCTTCAAATACCTGCGGTCTACGTCTCCACATCCATCCCTCATCAGCTAGATCTCCTTGTCCGAAAGAGGAACAATCCGAACTTCCGGCTCTGCAATGGCCAATCCGATGGGCCGCTTGAAATGCCTCAGTCTGTGTCTGACCCCCTTCACGACAACTTGCAGTGCACATGCCATGCACATTTGGGCAACAAAACATGTCTCGGGTCACTCCGCTATCTCCGGCTCCCAAGCACCCGGCAGATCTCCAAAAGATCGGGTCATCGCCAGGCCCTGGAAGCGAGACTTGCTTTGATTCCTTTGATGTCTGATATGTCTGGCATCTGATGTTGGGGTTCAAATGGTTCAAGCAGAAGCAAAGCAAAATGAAAACGGAGAGGATGCGTGCGGCTTGCAGTGGTGGACTCACACCAGTCACAAAGCTGTGACTCGACAGACTCTCGGAAAGGCCTGGTATTCTCTCCTGGCTGCCTGCATCAGGGCACACAGCATGAAGCAGCGATGTCTTTAGCTACATGTCCACAATACCTGTCAGCCATGTTAGATGATGCAGAACTGTCGCTGTTGTCCTAGAACTCGAAGCTGCACCACCAAGCAATGCTTTCCCCGGAATACTGTCGCACTCCAGCTTAACTTCCGCAACTCCCAGCCTTATTCATGGAGTTGGGATTCGTCGAGGTGGCAACACGCCACGCACCACGAACCTTAGGTCAAGAGCGGTTGAGATTGCATATGATTGCATCATAGCCGCTCCTACCGACACGGATACTGTAGCCAATTGCAAGGAGCTGCTTGGATGCCAGTGCAACTGGATCCCGCCTGCAAGACGAGACCTCCAACTCGCTCAATGCGTTTTTTCCTGTCGCGCTGGGACTTCTCAAAGGGAAAGGAGACTCTGGAGCCAAGGCAAGATTCCCGTTTGATTCGGGGGGTTCCCCAACATAGGGTTCCCAGGTATTCTTTCTGGGGGTTCCGAGAGTCAGGAGAAAAGTATTTTAGCGTCTTTTCAGGGTACGAATTTGTTTTGCGCTCTGCTACTGTGGGTCACCGTACGAGACCGAATCCGTGCCGAGGCGGCTCATCGATTCGAGTTGGCCGGTGATCCTCGGAGGCTGGCACGGCCTGCACAAAGGCCGCTCGCAGCGACCAAGCGCAGTACGAAGACTGATTGACCATGAGTCGAAACCTCGACTTTGGGTGGGGGGAGGAGGCCGGGTTCAGTATTATGGGGGAAGGGACGACTGACGTGGTCTTTCAGAGCAGCAAACCATAGCGAGCTGCCGCCTGCCCTGCACGGCCTGGCCGGAGAGCGGAAAGAGGGGGGAGCTGGAGAGTTGGAGGAGTTCTTCATGCGACATGTGGCATCGAAGACTGCGGCCCAAGCAGAGCACGGCCCGCGAATCTCCGAGGTTTGACACCACCTGTCAGCATCAAACACATCAGCTGAGCAGGTCATGACGGTCATGATCAAACCTTGAAACATCTTGAAACTCATACCAGCTTCTGCCCGAAGAAGCCGCGACGGCTGCAAACAAAGGCTAGCCAGGCAGGCCAAACGCAGGGCGGTCCCCAACTTCCTGATTTGCAGCACAACTTACGTCGGCTCCACGCTGCGAATGACTCTGAATGATATCTCAACGTGCAGCCCAGCATCGGATTCCCATGCAGAATCACGGAAACCTGAGAACTCTCCGGAGAGAATGAAGCTGCTTTGCCCCAGGATGGGAAGAGAACGTGAAGGCGAGGGTCGCCGCGGTAGCCGGCGGAAGCTATGCTTTCGGCTGCTACGAGTACCGGTTGCTTAGGCCATCCTCCTTTCGGCTGCTACGAGTACCGGTTGCTTAGGCCATCTTCCTGCCACGCTAACTCTTGCCAGGTGATCTGATGCTCCTGACCCTGAGAGTTTCCCGATTCGGGCGCCGGACGCAAGTGGAGCCAACAAGCTCAAACCTCAGCCGGCAAGCTGCTAGGAGAATGACCGTCCCTTTTTGGGGACCCTGAGTACGGGCCCGTACAATTAGAGGTGACACCTTGCACGACAAGTGCTCCATCTTAGCAGTCCACTTCTTGCGCTCTGCGAGGGCCAAAATCTCCTTGTCTGTTTGGAGGAAAGCCTTGCCAGCCCAGTGCAGCAGATCAGTTAATAGGACAGCAAGGTCTCGGAAACTCCGGAAGAAGCACATGCTTAGCTCAAGGATCAAATGTGCTCTTCTGGTGACATCTACACAGGTTCATATGAAGTAGGGTATATATTTCTTGTACCCCCAAAAGGACACAAGGCATATACACTCACCAATATTAAAAAGGAAACTTATATACACTCACCAAAAACAGAAATATGAACCCTGCTTCATATCGTCCCCCGCCAGTCTGCCTCCTTAATGGCCAGCTTTATCTTCTCGTCCCGAGAAGCAGGCTGCACCTGCCCCCGTGGTCCGTGAAAATTCCAACAAAGATCGGACGGGCACTCATGAACAATAAGGAGTTTGGGGTTTAGGGTTTAGGGTTTAGGGTCTAGGGTTTAGGGTTTAGGGTTTAGGATGAACTTTGACGCGTCTGTTGCACCTGTCTGTACTGGCATGCAGCACGCTGATCCCGTTGCAAATCTGCAAGGAACATGACAAACTTGGGCTGCGCCTGTTTCTGCCTCATTTGCTGGAGGACATTCCTGGGCAGCCGGCAGCACAAAGGGCTAAGGCTTTCGGCACTCAACGTCGCTGAGGCTGCACTCTTCACTTGATTGTGAGTTTGCTTCTGGCAAAGTCACGCAATTTGAGGCACTGAGCAAAACAAAATCGACTTATTTAGGTTCACGTGACCTGCACAGCCCCACAAGCCCCACACTTGTGGAGTTTCTCCTTCACCATGTCCGCCACCTTCAGCGACTCTGAGCTCAGGCGCAAGCCCCCTGAGCCTTATACCCCTCAGGTTTCTCCTCTTTCTCATGGGCCTGAGTTCCCCCGTGGCCATCGAGGACGGCGAAATAGACGCCAAGCTCCTGAAATTCGCAGTGGAGGGGGGGGGGGGCGAGAATTCCAAAACCGTTGTCACAAGGGCAGGCCTCAAGCGGCTCGTCCAGGACATATCGGTCCTCTCTGTGCAGGGCAGTGATCAGTGGAGCCTTCTAAAGCCTTCTTAAACCCCCACTTTCTCCGTGCTGTGAAGTGCGAGCAAATGCGGCTGCTTAACTTAATTCAGCCTGGAGCAAATCAAGCTGAGGTCCTGAAGGGTCTTCTTGAGACCAGGCCTGGCAACCGCTTAACGACATTCGCAAGTTGCAACCTTTACAGTAAGAGCAGTCACACAGCTATGACTCGCGGCTTCGTCAGCACTATCAACTACTGCGCGTGCTGTGGCGGGACCTCCTACACATGAACAATCAGAAGCAGTCAGAAGCAACCTGCGAAATGTTGCAGAAACAGCTGATCTTGCCCTGCGCGCCAGCTTTCGCAGTGCACACGCAGGCCCAGCGACTCAGCCGAGACGTGGTAGCTCTTCTTCTTCTCCTCGCACAGCACCAGCAGCAGCACCATACTAGCATGTCTAGATATGTCTAGCATGTCCAGCATGCAGGTGGCAGTGCAAGGTCAATCCGGTGGTTTATGGCTCCATACTCTTCAGCAGAGCATGCGAAGGCCACGAAGGGCGGAGGGGACGCTGCAAGAAGCCCATAGAAGCCCCAAGCCATGGACCTCCAGCGTCTGTGCGCCAGCATGGATGGGAAGTGGCTTGCCATCTGCACCTTCAAGCAGTCGCAAGCACATGAAAGCCAAGCTGTTCAAACACACCAACCCCTATCTACACCTCCCAGCCATGCGGCCGGAAGGCCACCGAACGTCAGCTACGGTACATGTCACAGACTCGCATTTTCACTTTTAGCTGCAAAGCTCCATCCCTCCGCAACTTCCAATATCCTACATCCGACGTTGCAACTCTGACTCAAGTGCTGCTGGTAACAGAGACTCAGGAACGCACCCAGCATCAACACCTCCAGCGCGCAGGGCTTGCTGTCCTGCGTGCCTTGCTTGAAGCTGACCTGGCCAAGGATACGGGCCGCAGTGGGTTCAGGCATGCAAGGGGCCAACCCCACGAGTACCTGCCGCGTTTGATGTCAAAGTCACAGGTGGTAACCGGAGTTTAAGCTATGGAGCCACAAACAAAGATAAAGAGCTATCCTGCTATGCCAAGTTGACAGATTTCTTACATGAAATGGCAATCACAACCCCCTCCGCACTGACCTTCCCTTTGGGCTGTACTGCTTTCATTTGCCTTCTAGTTCTCTAGTTCGGATGGATGAACGGATGGATGGAAAACGGCTTGCTCAGCAGCCTTGGATCCGACGTCGTCCCTCCTAATCCCAGCCCGTCGCAAGCGTTATCCGAGCTCCAGTTGGATGTTAAACTCCCTCCGCCTTATCTCCCGATAAGATGCCGCCCTCAGATTGCCGGGTATGCATTCTTACCCCACTTCCTTGGCAAATACAAAGAGCCGGAAAGCGTGGAGAGGCAGCGGGAGGTCCGCCATACTCTTTCAAAAGGCTTTGCACAGCAATGGCACATTGATGCGTGTTTTCGCAAATCTGAACTCTTGCTCCGGAGCCGGGTGGTGCTAATGCAGCATTGAGGGGGGGGGGGGTGAATGTCCGAGCCCCCTCTGGCCGTTGTGAAGCAACGTGGTGCAGAACCCTCTAAACCCCAATCCCGAAACCCTAAATCTAAACCCGAAGCATCCCGAAGCCCTAAACCCTACAAGGAGTGGAGCACGGAGCAACGGAGTACGGAGCAGCGGAGCAGAGCAGATTTTCGGACGATGATCGAATGGCACTGTGTCTTCCATTTGTTGTCTGCGTTCATTCCCTGCTTCCTTGACACGCATCAGGCCATTGAAGACGTCCTTTTTGCTTTCCCCCCAATGAAACTGGACCAAAATGACCCCACATGCAAGTCACATGGGCACGGCCTTCACACCTTCTTTTAGATTTATTGGGTTCGTCGGCGTGCTGCCCACAATGAACTTCCGGTGGACGAAGAGGCCTGCCGGTCAAGAACAAGCCACGTTTGACGTGCAACTGAGATCTTTCCAGCCCTGATACAGCCTTTGCCGACTTCTCCGCCCTCCTCTTTCCCCGCAGGCATGATGAAGCCGAAGCCCTGATGGCATGGGGCTCTCAACCATCGGCTCAATTTTTTGGGGCAAGTTCCCATGTTAGAGTGTCTCTGGACTAGGAGGGATTGAAGACATGCAGTGCACGGCTCCTTCTCCGAGTCCCACTTGTTGACCCGGCCCTCCATCCGAACGTCCTCCAACAAAGTCGGTTCCAGCATGTTCCAGCATACAGAACATGACAGAACACCCTCCGAGTACCCTGAGTACTCTTCATGAAGGATCTCACAAGCACGACAAGCACTACATGCACTACACGCGCTGCACTTAGCAACGACATTTGGGCCAACTCCCAGGATCCCACCACGTCCCACCTCCTCCTTCTCGGGCGCCTTCGGCGCCGGCGCCGGCTCTTGGGCAACGGCGGGGCCATCATCACCCTGCAAGGCACCCGTAGAATTTTCGAAAGTTCTGCTCTGTGCTAAGCTTCGTCTTGCAGTAGAACTGCACCGAAGCGCAGTGCCGAGGCACCTGAGCTCCTTCCACCTCAAACTTCACGAACTCTGTCTTTGAGATGGCTTTTCGCATCTCCTCAGACCTGGGGCAAGGCTTCCCCAAGCAGCAAGGCCCGCTTTTCGTTGCCTGAACGCTGCCCAGGGGCTGCTTCATTTTCCTCACCAGAGGATCCTCACAAAGGGGCCACATCAAAGCCCGCAGCAACTTGAGGTATGCTGAGTGATGACGAAGCTTTTCCAAGAAGCACTGGGACACGGGCGTCGTCATCGTCGATCCTTCTGAAGAAGCGGTTATCGCTTTCCTTCGGCGTGTAGTACACCTGGCTGCTGTCGAACCCTTCACAGACATCCGCATGACGCCACATCTTCATGTGAAACTGCGTCCTCCCCAGCAGGCCGGCCACGCCTGTGTTTTCAAATGGAAATACAAACCCGTCTCCGGGTGAAACTTCCACTTTCCCGTCTTCTTGTAGACCTCGACATTACGCTGCACGGTGCATAATACCAACGGTTTAGGGTTTAGAGTTTAGGGTTTAGGGTTTAGGGTTTGGGGTTTGGGGTTTAGGGTTGAGGGTTGAGGGTTGAGGGTTGTTAGGGTTTAGGGTTTAGGGTTTAGGGTTTAGGGTTTAGGGTTTAGGGTTTAGGGTTTAGGGTTTAGGGTTTAGGGTTTAGGGTTTAGGGTTTAGGGTTTAGGGTTTAGGGTTTAGGGTTTAGGGTTTTTGGTTGGCCTGTCATCCTACGATGACGTGAGAAGTCACTCATCTAGTGACTTCTTGTCAGCTACAGCGGAATGACAACGACATGCGCACGCAGGCACACGCACACACAGACTCATCGAGCGCAGCACGTACCAGCCACTGCCTGTCGAGCCATGGCTCAACACTCCATGACTGTGCTCTTAGGCACACGAGCGCTCCCAGTCGAACATAGCGTGGCTTAGTGTAACTAAGCGTAACTGAGTGTACCGTAGTGTAACTCAGTGCAACTTAAAATCACTAAGTCCAATGCCAAAATATGGTAATGCACGCGACACATGAAAGCCACCTCAGCGGATGTAAGGACCCCGAGCTCCCGGCCATCCCCGGCCGGCTCGTAGTCCTCGAACTGCGTTGGCGGCACTCGCTCCGGGGACCGAGACCTAGGTCCGCCCTCATCCGCCCTCATCCGCCCTCATCCGCCCTCATCCCTCTTTATGGCCTGCTTTGAAAGAATGCTTGGAAAGTTCCCCACTTACAAGCCCCTTATAGTGCCCCATAATATGGTTGCAATTGGGGGTTGGGTTCACAAGTACCATGAACCTCCACGTCGGGCTCGTTGCTTGTATCTGCTCATCAGCGCCGACGATCCGGGAGGCCGGCGGTGCCCTTCGCTTGGCTGGCCTTGACGGCGACCTCCACTGATCAGCTTCCCATCACGATGGGCCACACATGGCCAGGTCCTCTTCTGAGCTCTTGGCCTCGAGAGTTCCCCCTCGTAGTCCGAGAGATTCCTTGGCCGTTGCGGCTGTCCGAGCTCTAGTCCAATCCAGGATCCGTGCGTATCAGTGCATACACTGTGCAGTGCTGGGGAGCAGGCTTCTGAGACTCCGACCTCCACGGTATGAGCATAATGAGCACGCAAATGCATGCAACGAGTAACGGCACGAGGCTCAGTTCTGCAAGCCCGTCACATAAAGACAGGAAACATCGTCGCGTGTCCAACCGGACCATGAAGCTCAGGACTGTGATTACAGCTACTACACCTCTCAAACCGCACATGGACGAATTCATGACAGTGGGATGTGCATCAAGCACCCACCCCCCCCCACCAAAACGAACAGACCGGACATCAAACAACGGCCATCCACGAACACTTCGACTCCCAGTCTCACGCACCAACTCTTCGTTGGCCTGGCAGGTGAGGGCGTCGGTGTCCGCCGCGGCGGTGCCTGCGGCTTCTCCTGCTCTTGGCTTCGGCACTTGAGAGATTTTGAAGCTTCGATTCTCGGCACGTGAAACATCCCACGTATCATTCGAAGCAAGATACTTGGCTTGAGCTTCACCAATACATGAAAGTTGCACCTGGCCCCGACATACAGAACACAAGCGGCAAACTGCTAGCGTCCTTCGCCTTTTCTTTCTTATCCTGCTTCCTGACGGGAGCCAGGGTCATGAAATGCAAACGGATGGCAAAACGAGCAAGGGCATTCTAACTCTTGCAGCCTCTTGGGAGCAGATTCAGACCTAGGCAGCTCAGTGAGCAGCTCGTTGCTGGAACTTCATGCTCGTGTTGCAGAAGAATCTACGAGCAACCTCCCCATGCCGACAAATGAGGATCTCCCACCTTCTGCGACTTGCCTTCGACTGAGCCCGCAACCGAGAGGCCGCCCCTCTCCGCCGGCGCCTCGGAGTGTCTCAGATTCACCACATTTATAAGACGTAGGTTACTAACATATTGTAACAAATTGTCGCAACATATTGTAGCATATGACTACGCATTCTAATGCGTATTCCGGTAAGAACAGACTATAACATATTGTTTCACAATAAAACAACCCGAAGACGAGTCAGAAGTGAGCTTCTGGCGAGCGGGACCGGCTTTTCCTTGTCTTGCAAATGAATCAGCAAATCGAACAGGCAGGCTTCTGGGTGTCGGTTTGACTCAGGTACAATCCAAGACCCTGGCCGTTTATCTCTCCCTCGAGATTTACTCCGTCCTGCAAGTGTGAGAAAATCGAGCGACTGCCTTGTTCTGCATTCTTGTCCTCACAACCTTGGCCCTAGTGTTTCACTTTGCACCACTCTCAGTAGCAAACGACCAGCTCGCCGTCGATCTCGAGACCTTGTGCTGTGACACATTACGATTGTGCTGCCTTGATGCGCTCAGTCGATGCACTCCGCGGCATGTACCGCAAGATCGCCCTAAACCCAAACCCTAAACCCCAAACCCCAAACCTAACCCTAAACCCGAGACCCTACGGCAACACCGCACGTGGCTGGCCCGATACACAAGGCAGGCACCCGGAGCTCGAGCGAGCCATCTGCAAGAATTGCCTGAGAGATCATTCTTTCAGGGTTTTGGGTTTAGGGTTTAGGGTTTAGGGTTTAGGGTTTAGGGTTTAGGTTTAGGGTGGTTTAGGGCGGTTTAGGGTGGTTTAGGGTTTAGGGTTTAGGGCTTAGGGTTTAGGGTTTAGGGTTTAGGGTTTAGGGCTTAGGGTTTAGGGTTTTGGGTTTTGGGTTTAGGGTTGGCGGCTCGCAGAAGCAGTTCTTGCAAAAGCGTCGCAGAAGTAGAAGCCAAGCCAGGTGAGCCGACTCGGAGCCCCGACAGCCTTGGCTCCTCGTGCGCAGCCTGTGACAATCTTATGCTGGTGACCTCATAACAGTGCATGAAGCACTGGTCTTGCATGCTGGTACTAACTTTGGCAAAAGCCATGCAGGGACAAACAGGTTGCTGGGATCTTTTAACACAACCCACGGAAATGCTAAACTCAATCAGCCCCCATGGCCTGAACGAGCGGCGCCGACCCCCTTTTCGGGGCCTTGTCCTACCAAAGAAAGCTTCGAGCCAAACGAGCCAAACACGCATCTCAAGTAACGACATGCATCTTGCTGCATCGGACAACTGCTGTTTCTATCCAGTTTGTACGTGCCAACAAGGCTGTGCCTCTCTGCAACCTGTGCTGTATACATGATCTTCGTGTTCGAGCAGGCTTCAGCAAGATGCTGTGTTCATGCCTATGCCACACAAGTGGAAAATGCTCCTTTGCATCTTCCACATCAATACGGGGCTTGCACACTCCTGGGACTGAGCAAGCGAAGTCATGTGGGTAAGTGCAGGGCAAGGCCTTCTGCCGAATCATAAAAATGCCCCGGCCGAATAAAATATTTCAACTAAGTGCTGTTTATCTGTGGGTCCAAACTAGTTAGGGCCAGGTGAAGCTTATGCCTGAAGCTTGAACCTAAAACCTAAGCCCTAATGATAGCCTCAAGCCTGAAAGCCGTGGCCCCTTTTAGTAACTAGGGCTGCCTAAAAGGGGTCCAGGTGAAGCTTAAGCTTAGATCCCAACCCTTCAACCCTAATCCCAACCCCTGAAGGCCTCAAGATGATGTTCCGACTTGGGCTCTTGTATAAGTAAGCTCGCAAATACAAACCGATGACAATGATGATTTACTGGCTCAGCTGAGCATTCCTCACTTCTAATTTAAAAATTCCACTAGGCGACCCTGAGGCATTTCAAATAACCTCCCCTATTGACCCCTTTTCTAACATAGTCTTGGCCCTTGAGAAGTACGCTTGGAGGAATTCAGGGTCCAGAATATGATTGTTTACGTTTGGGGAGCAGGGGGGCAAGGGTGATTGTTGATGGGCATCACTCCGAAACCTTTGGTCGGTAACAGCTTTTGCGGGTTCTATGCAGCACATTCTCCGGCGTCGTCGCAGCTCGACGTGAAAAGCCTGCACCGAAGACTCCGTGGCCGGATGCAAGAAAATGAGCTGAGGCCTACACCCAAAAATTAAATCCGAACACTGAACTTAAATCCGAACACTGAACTACTATTCGCTTAAGAACCTCGCAGAAAATACACAAACAGAATCCCTGCATTCCATATTGGCCTTGTAAGGAAGAATATGTTTTGTTGTTCGGTTCTTAAGCGATTAGTAGAAACTTGAATGTCCCCGCAGCCCCGACACCTCTCCGAGGATTGGAGCCGCAATGGGAAGGCACTTGGGCAGTTATCTACATTAGGGTGCCCCTTTAGGGCTCCTTATGACAAGGGTGCCATGTTATACAGGGGACCGGAAAGGAGGACCCTAATTTAGAGAACTACTCAGCGAGTAGGAGAAGCAGTAGCAAGGTCACACGTGCAGGAAGTCCTGTCGTCCGTGGTCGAACATATCATGTACACATTTGACCGCTGTCAGGTAAAGGCCACCAAAGCACACCTCGTTGCGGGCTCATGTCATCGTGGTGACAAAAGCCTAAGGCGTACACGAGGCCATCTGAAAGCACGATCATGGCCAAGATTGTGTGGAACTGCGACAGGACGACTGGAAACAAATGCGCCCAGAAGGGCAAACTGCCAAAGTCAACCGGGCCATAGTTGAAGTCATGGCTCTCACGCACTTCCAATTTCACAGACTCGACAGTAGCAAGGTGCTGCATTTCCAGATCGTGCTGAGCTGAACCTCTGGATGAGGTTGAATCAATGGATGAGGTTGCATGAGTAGGCTTTCGTGGTGGCTGTGGCACCACTGCAAGTGCGTCCGAAGATGCCTGCTGACTAAGGTTGCTGAGTCTCCTCACAATTTTCTTCTCGGACATTTGCTCCACCTCTTCATCAGTGGCGAACAACTTCACAGGTGAGAAGTCGATGCCCGCTCGCCACAGAACGTAGCTGAGCAGATCTTCCAGAAGCTCTGCTCCGATGATGAACACCCACAGCACTCCCTCCGTCTCGCTCAAGACTGCAGGGTTGCCAAGAGAAAGGCGTGCCAACAGCAAGGCGGCAACTGCTCCCATACGGGGATAGCCCATACAGTAACCAGCATCTCTCAAGAACTTCGATGCATTCTTGGGCTTGAACCAGCCACGAGTGACGAAATGGATGGTGCGGTCCACGCATCCCAGGCGCAAGAGTATGTTCCACACAACCTTGGCTCCCCCCTTTTTGAACAATCAAACAACAGTTATGCTCGTATTCTTATGGGGTTCATCAGGGAGAGGGTTTCAAGGGGGATATGTAACCCAAGGTTCGCGAGTACTCCCCTCTACTCCCTAAGGCTCCCTAAGCTTCCCGAAAGTTGCCTAGGTACCTACCCACCATTGTTTCCTAAAGCATAAACCTTAAACCCTGACCCCTCCTTTAAGGACACTAAAATGCTCCTTTTTGTCTTGATGTAAAACGATGAAACATTGTGCCTAAGGAAACATTAGTAACCGAGCTGATTATCGGCAAGAGCGGTTGAGAGTCCTTGTTCTGCAGGTGGTCAATGTAGAGCAGAGTTAAGCGTGCTCCTTCGGCCATGGCATGAAAGGTGCAAGTGGATATGGAGATCACAATGCCTTGGTTTGTGCCCGGGTACTGCTCGCGCACTTCTGGCCTTGTGACAAAACTTTCGGTGAAGTTACGAGCCGCCAACTGAGTGCCGATGTACTCATAGGTTGTCAGCAGCAATGGCAGTAAAACCCCGATCCAAACTCCAGCAGCATCTCTCAGCACCAGGTAGCCAGACAGTAAGATGCCAAAGCCGACGATAGGCAACATATGGCATGTAGGAGCAACTGACCGTGCGTACCGGAAGCAAATACAACTTGGACCAAAGAGCCAAACAAGAACGGCTCCGCTCGGCAGTGACAAGATGTTGCCGAATACGAAGACCAAAAAAAACCCGAGAGGCTGCCCTTCGCGGATGGGAAGAAACGTCAGCATGGCATAGACTGCAAAAGTCAAAATCTGTTGCATCCACGCCGCCGGATGTCCCGTTAGACATCCCCAGCCCTCGGGCGCAACGCCTGAAAGCACGAAATCCCGAACAGAGGGCCCAGCAAGTCCCATGATGGGCAGGACAAATAGAAAGATCCAGCCAGCAAAGCGGCATATGAGCGTCTGCCAGCTTGGTCGAGCCAGGTCCGGCCCCTCGGCCAGCCCGAAGGCTATAAGGCCCATGAACATGAGGACTGAAGAAATCATGGAGGCTATGAAAGTGCTGGATGCTGTTGGCAAGCACATCTTCATTTCTCTCAAATGCTCAAAGTTTTCAGACTCCTTGGACTCCGCATCCCCAACCTTTGGCGCTGAGTTGTCAGGCGACGCAGGCGAGGAAGTCGGTGGACAGTGAACAGCAGGACCACCTGCATCTGAGTCCCCTGAGCTTCTCGTCTCTTTGGGATGTACCCGGGCCATTGGCGCAACGGCGAAAAAATCTCGTACCAAAACACTGCCCCATTCAGTTCTCTGCACGAGGCTCTTTTGTCCAGGCTGCTCAATAACTACTAAGATTATCGGTCTAAGAAACAGCGTGCCTGTGTCGGGTTCATGGATTTCATATTGGCCACCCTCCCCCCCCCACTTCCCAAAACCCTAAGCCCTAAATATTCGATTTGGATCTGCACTTCTCGTAATTAAAAGCTGAATCTGCCCAAATCACCTTGAATCTGCAAGTCACCTGGGTACAGGGCTTCGGGGTTAATAGGGGTTCATAAAATACACCAGGCCCTTGCAAGGGCAGAGCACAATTATTTTCTTCCCGGACGTGGCCGTGTCGTCGCTGGCATTTATTACTTTATTTAGTTACTTTTTGATTTATCAATCTATGCATTTTTTTGTTGTTTGTTTATATAGATGTAGATATAGATATGGATTTATAGATGATATAGAAACACAGACATAGATATGGATATATAACACTCCCCATACTTTGCCCTCATGGCCGGACACCTCAAGACCTGCACATCGCTGCAGCCGCGGCCGCGCGAGGCCCTGAACTTCGATGCCTAATGTTTCTTGAATTGCGTGGGGAGGGAGGTTAGGGCTTAGGGTTTTGGGTTTAGGGCTTAGGTTTTAAGGTTTAGGGTTTAGGGTTGAGGGTTGGGGGTTGAGGGTTGAGGGTTGAGGGTTGAGGGTTGAGGGTTGAGGGTTGTGGGTTGAGGGTTGAGGGTTGAGGGTTGAGGGTTGAGGGTTGAGGGTTGAGGGTTGAGGGTTGAGGGTTTAGGGTTTCGGGTTGAGGGTTGAGGGTTGGGGGTTGAGGGTTGAGGGTTTAGGGTTGGGTTGGAATCTACCCGCTGAAACAGGGAATGCCGTGAGGCTACTGGCGGTGCCTGGCGTCCTGGGGTCAATCAGCCCTGGCTTCAAGGAAGCCTTTCTGGGCAGAAGGATGTGGGTCCATGACGGGAAGTTTCCGGTTTATTTATGGGGCCTAGAGTTCAGAGTTAAGGGACTGGGATCTATGGGATTTAGGGTGTAGTGCAGAACGTAAGCCCATCAGCCAAAAGCCACATCCCCAGCACACGAAAACGGGCTGCCCAGGCGTTTGCCAGCTCATAGCTGTCGGCGCGCTCTATGATTATGTGCGCTTGCGAAGCGAAAACAGGGCTTGTTGAAGGACTGGTGGGCAGAAGGCTGGGATGTGGGGGGTCGGGGGTTTGCAGGGTGGAGAGTTTAGGGCCTAACACCTAACCCCTAACCCTATGTAGGGTTCGGCTCCGAAAGGTTAAGACACGACCCTATGGGAGACCACAGCTCGAAAGGCTTGCGACAGAGGAGCTGGAAAACCAGATCCCCCCCAAGTTAGTTTATGCAAAAAAGAAATTAACACACATAAACAAGTATGCATATAGTTCACTGCCAAGCACTAGTCCGTTACGAAGGTACGAGAATGATACGAAAAAGGAATGTGAGTTTAAAGTGAGTGAGTGAGTGCTGGCTCACCAGCAACCGTGCTTTTGGCGCTGTTCCCTCCCGCTTCCTCGGGAGCTCCGCACCCGTCATTGCCCCCTCCACTTGGAGTTCACGTCCGGCACGCGCCCCAACCCCAAGACAACGCTCTGAGGTCGGCAAGCCCGGTTCAGCAAAAGGGTTTGTCCACCATTTTGCACGGAACCACAACTAGGCAGGCCCGCCATCGGAAAACCGGCATAAAGGCAAGACAGCGTGCCATCCTCGCTGAGGCCCATGCAAAAAAGCGCTTCCCCCGAAGATCCCTCTTCAAGGTACTAAGTCAGGCAGACAACATCGCCTCTGCGTTGGGCAATGCGCTGCCGTGTGTAAAGCAGCAGGCACACTTCTCCGCAGATCCCTCTACGGCGTCTCTACGGATACTACGTGCACAACGCGACACATTCGCTACGGGGACTCACTGTTCACCACCGTTTCCTGTGAAAAGGGGGAATGGCAGGCTCGGGCCATTCACCTGCTCGCTGTGCCCTCGGAGTAGAGGGGTGACCGGTCACCACCCACGGACGAGGTTTAAAAGATGTTAAAAGCAATGATGCTCTATTGAATAGATTCTCATATGGATTTAGGGTGTGGTGCAGCGGCGCAGGTGGTGGGGTGCAGTGGTGCGCGCCAGTGGTGCACTCAGCGGTGCGGGTGGCGGGGCGCAGAGGTGCAGGTGGTGGGGCGCAGGGTGTGCCGGACTGCACCCTGCCGGACTGCACCCTGCACCCTGCCGACTGCACCCTGCACCCTGCCGGACTGCACCCTGCACCCTCCCGACTGCACCCCAAATAGGAACATTTAGCATAACATTTGGCCCAAATATTACGCTAAATGTTCCGCTATTTGGGGCGCAGTCGACAGGGTGCAGGGTGCAGTCGGCACCCGACCATTGCACCCTGCGCACCCTACCATTGCACCCTACGCACCCTGCCGTTGCACCCTACGCACCCTGCGATTGCGCCCTGCGCACCCTACGCACCCTACGACTGCACCCTGTGCACCCTAGACCCTACCATTGCACCTCACGCACCCTACCATGCACCCTACGCACACCCTGGCAGCCCATACCGCACCATAGCCCCGCACTTCCACGTGAGCATACCTATAGAAACCATGCCCCGCATTGCTCTTGAAACTTGATAAGTATGAGTGAGAGAGTGAGCGAGTGAGCGAGTGAGTGCTTGGGTGTGAGTGAGTGCGCGTGAGTGAATGATCGCGTGAGTGTGAGAGTGTGAGTGAGTGTGAATGAGTGTGAGTGAGTGTGAGTGAGTGTGAGTGAGTGTGAGTGAGTGTGAGTGAGTGTGAGTGAGTGTGAGTGAGTGTGAGTGAGTGTGAGTGAGTGTGAGTGAGTGTGAGTGAGTGTGAGTGCGTGTGAGTGAGTGCGAGTGAGTGCGAGTGAGTGTGAGTGAGTGTGAGTGAGTGTGAGTGAGTGCGAGCGTGAGTGTGAGTCGTGTCCTTCGCCGCTCTTTTGGTAGCGTGCAGGTGCGGGGCTTCGGGCTTGAGAGGATTGGGGAGTTTCGGCTTCGTTTGTCATCCGGCAAGCGGATTTTCAGCGAGATCTTTTGCACTTGTCACGGCAGAGACCTGTCACGGTACACTTATCGCAGGCAAAAGTGAAAGTTTGAAGCCGAGTCTGAGTCTCATCTACAAGGCGCCGGTCCAGGACCCCGAAATGCTGCGCCTGGCAGCACAAACGACACCTGTGTCGCGCCTGCTAACATTTCGCGAGCCCCCGAGCGCACACGCGACACCGGTCCAGGGCTCCAACGCTGCGCCTGGCAGCACAAACGACACCTGCGTCGCGCCTGCCAACGTTTCGCGAGCCCCCGAGCGCACGCGCGCGGCACCGGTCCAGGGCCCCTAAATGCTGCGCCTGGCAGCACAAACGACACCTGTGTCACGCCTGCCAACGTTTCGTGAGCCCCCGAGCGCGCACGCGACACCGGTCCAGGGCTCCAACGCTGCGCCTGGCAGCACAAACGACACCTGTGTCGCGCCTGCCAACGTTTCGCGAGCCCAGTCATATGCCGCCGACCCGGCTTGGAACCAGCATCCGCCTCCAAATTCGGCTGCTGAAGGGCATCATGTTTAAAATACATTTTTGTTATTCCTTTAGTTACTTGAAGCGTTCTGCAAACATTCCACTGAGCATTCTTCGAATATGGAAGACATGCACATTTATTCTATGCAAAATAATGTAGCGGTCATCACTCTTTGTCGCGCCCAAGGCGAACAGTGGGGAGCTGTTTGAAAGTTTGAGTGAAGCACCGGCGCCATACCTAGATAAAGCACCGCACCATGCGACCCAACGATCACGCGCGAGGTCCGTCGCTCACCCCAAGCGCCAAGGACGGAGCACGCAAGAGCACTGAAGTCTACATCCACTTTGGCACCAAGCCCTTCACAAGAAACTCACGTAACGATTGATCGGCAATGTTGGATGCATTGTTTACTCGTTCGAACCACACGTTACCGTCACACCCAAGTCTATCCGTCAAGTCACGCGTCTCTTGAACAATGGCAGCGCCACACAGGTTGTCTGAGGCACCACGGATTATGCACGATAGGGCTCCTTCGTTATCGCTGCCAGCCACTATATTGCATCCACGCAAGATTGGGCCCCATGCTTTGAAGCTTCCAAGCAGTGCCAAGCACTCAAACTCGAAAATTGGGTTGTCACTGTAGGGGTTCATCCTCTTCAGCAAGTCGTCGGAGGCTGAAGTCTTGAAGTAGCCAACAGCCTTATCACCAGCCATGGAAACACCCCCCAAACCACATCGCCGTTCATCGCACGAAGCATCCACGTAAATACGCCAGGTACACTGCATGTTCGCATCAATGCATTTGGGCGCACCACAGAAGACGGTCACGAAGATGAAGCAATGCGCTCTGGGTGGCATCATCTAACTTGCCGCCTCCTTTGGCCACAAACCTCGACAGAGCTTTGTACGAACTGGCAGCTTGTCTGCCCGCAGTCTGGTTCTCGGCAAACTGCAGGCGACCCCTAGTCTTGCCCTGTCTTCTTAGCAAGGTGCTAATCTCAGCCAAGCGGGCCAACACTTCTAGCTCTGCTTCAATGAAATCGTCAAAGTAAGCGTGCCGTGCAACAGGAAGAGCGATGTGCGTATACGCCAAACGGCGACGTCCTCACAAAGCCACGTACCGAATGTCTGGCCGCGAAGGGCAGCACAAGCTGCCTATAAAGCTCGGCACGTCCGCTCGATGGATTGCACACGCTCAGATGCGCCCGCAGCGCGCGACTCTCGCAGACCTCAAACCTCATCCAGGACAAGGTGGCCGAACCTCCTCCTACTGCTGAAAGCTTTGCTCGCGGGGATGGGTCGTTTGGACTGCTGCACGTAGCAGCAGCGTTCGTCCAAGACAGCCCGGTTAACCCATTGCCTCATGGCCTGAGGCCTGACCCAATTAAAAGCACTCTTAAAAGCAAGTAGATCCAACGTGTAAAG